TAAAAGAAAAATTGTCCTAACTCTAAGAGATTAGGGCCAAAAGGAATAGTGTAATAAGGTCTCCCAAATGCTTCTAAATATACATCTAAGTAGCAAACCATTGTTCTATGATGATTTTTTTTCATACTTGTACATTTTATAAATCAAGACTGAATTTTGAGGCCAGGTGCCATAGCTCATGTCTGTAGTTGCAGCACTTTGGAAGGCTGAGGTGGGAGGATGGCTGGAAGCCAGGAGTTCAAGACCAGCTTGGGGAACATAGGAGACCCTGTATCTGTAATAAATAAATTTTAAAAAGAAAAAGGAAAAACAACAATTTTGATTGTTTTATTTGTTTGGTAAAGTTCCAGAGGTTTTACTCTGCCAGAACAGAAGGCTACATTCAAAATAATCTAATTCAAAGGACAATCATATAAATATTTATGGTATAATTCTATACAGTTTCCACATTAAAAAAAAATAACACCACATTATCAGGTAGACAACATGTATACCAAGAAACATTTATCTAATTCCTAGCATTTCAAGTAATGCACAAAAGTTTACATTTTAGAGAGATTTTGTGATTTAATTTGTAAAACATGAAGGAAAATTTGAAGTATTTCACTAGGATCACCATGGTAATCTTCAATTACTACTAATATTTCTACATATTAGAAAAATCCAACCTTGCTGAATACTAAAAACATTAACAATTTGTTTTATATGAGTTTAACCAATCCACTAAAAAAAGAAACCATAGTTGAAATATAATTCCTATTGAATTTCAATTAAACATTTAAAAGTAAGAATCATCTTACTGTTCTAGAATCCGAGAAAGGATTATATTCATCAAGTCCTGGTGGAACATTTCTTGTCACTTGTGTAACTGATGGATCCTAGAATAAAATTCGAAGGAGAAAAAAAAAGATTATCCTTTAAAAAATAATTTTGATATTTATATACCATTTGCTTTATCTATACTTATGGTCACCCAGCAAAGCTAACAGAAAAATAAAAGATGACTATCAGATTTACTCAGTCTCATTTCAACAATGGTGATGTTTAAACCCATACAACCCTCACATTCTCAAAGGAAAACAAAAACTGGGTTAGATTCAAATCAGCTGCAAGCTATTACATTACAATAAAAAGTAGACCACCTCTTAATAGCTGTGTGGAACTGACTATACAAGAGCATCTTAACAAATCTCAGGTAAACCCACCATCATTTCCTTTGACCTCCATAAAGATTTCATGTTCCACTTTTTATAACATCTTCAATTATTCCCACTGCAGATTTCATACTGCATTTCACACTGCACAGACAGCTAAATACAAGAAGCTCAAAGCATTACATATCGATGTCATATACAGCCAACATCATCTATAGAATTCAATATTAAATACATCTTGTTTTATTCTACTCCAGTATCTCTACTAGTTTATTTCACCACATGATCGTAGACTGTCTTCCCTTTTCCAAGCATAGTACATGACGACACCATTCCGACTTTTCAAATCTTTTAATATTAAGCTTTCATAAAAATGACAAAATCACACAGTGAGAGGGAAAATGGCAGACAGGAGGCAGTACTAACTTGCAGCTCCCACTCGATGAACGGAGCAGCACGTGGAGATCTACATCATGAACTCTTGCTCCAAAAACAATGGAGGAAGATACCAGAAAAGCCAAGAGAATCCACAGACCCTCTGAAGAAGGTAGACTGCTGCTGCAGGCTCCTGGGATAGCCAAGGAACTCTGAAGACAAAGGACATAATCTCATAGGAGCTCCATGATCCCACCCACCACCTGATCTTCCTTCTACTACAGCAGCTAATGCACTCTTGAAAGTGCCACCTCCTGGCTGGAGGCCAACCAACATAAAACCTGCATACTTAAAAATAAAATCTACCCAGCTCACGCCTATAATCCCAGCACTTTGAGAGGCTGAGGCAGGTGGATCATGAGGTCAGGAGTCTGAGACCAGCCTGGCCAACATAGTGAAAACCTGTCTCTACTAAAAATACAAAAAAGTAGCTGGGTGTGGTTTTAGGTACCTGTAATCCCAGCTATTTGGGAGGCTGAAACAGGAGAACTGCTTGAACCCAGGAAATGGAGGTTGCAGTGAGCTGAGATCATGCCACTGCACTCCAGCCCAGGTGACAGTGTAAGACCCCATCTCAAAAAAAAAAAAAAATACAGCCAAGGACTCTCATAGAGTCCACTTCGCTCCCCTGCTACCTCCATGGGAGCAGGTGCCAGTATCCATGGCTGAGACCTGAAGACAGATCACATCACTGGTCTCTTTGCAGACAATCCCCAGTACTAGCCCAGAGCCCAGTAGCTCCACTGTGTGGCTAGATCCAGAAGAAGAATGAATCACTGCAGTTCAGTTCTCAGGAAGCCCTATCCATATAGGAAAGAGGAGGGCACCACATCAAGGGAGCACCTCATCAGACAAAAGAAACTGAACAGCAGTCCTTGAGTTCCAGATCTTCCCTCTGATACAGTCTACCCAAATGGGAAGGAACCAAAAAAAACAATTCCAACAATATGACAAAACAAGGTTCTTTAACACCCCAAAAAGATCATACTAGCTCACCAGCAATGGATCCAAACCAAAAGAAAACCTCTGAACTGTCAGAATTCAGAAGGTCAACTTTTAAACCAATCAAGGAGGCACCAGAGAAAGGTAAAGTCCAACTTAATTAAAAAAAAAAAAAAAAAGATACAGGATATGAATGGGAAAATTTCCAGTGAAACGGCACAAATAAAAAACAATCAAGCTGGGCACAGCGGCTCACGCCTGTAATCCCAGCTCTTTGGGAGGCTGAGGCAGACGGATCACCTGAGGTCAGGAGTTCAAGACCAGCCTAACCAATATGGTGAAACCCCATCTTTAAAACAAAACAACAAAAAAAATCATGACTTCTGGAAATCAAGGACACACTTAGAGAAATGTAAAATGTACTGGAAAGTCTCAGCAGTAGACTTGAACAAGAAGAAAGAACTTGAGAGCTCAAAGACAAGGCTTTTGTATTAACCCAATCCAAACAGACAAAGAGAAAAGAATTTTAAAAAATGAAAAAAGCCTACAAGAAGTTTGGGATTATGTTTACAACCAAACCTAAGAATAATTGGTGTTCTCAAGAAAGAAGAGAAGTCTCAAAGTTTGGAAAACATATTTGAGGGAATAACTGAGAAAAACTTCCTTGGCCTTGCTAGAGATCTAGACATCAAAATACAAGAAGCACAAAGAACACCTGAGAAATTCATCATAAGATTATCACCTAGGCACACAGTCATCAGGTTATCTGAATTCAAGACAAAGAAAATAATTTAAAGAGCTGTGAGGCAAAAGCATCAGGTAATTTATAAAGAAAACCCTATCAGATTAACAGCAGATTTCTCAGCAGAAATCCTATAAGTTAGAAGAAATTGAGGTCCTAACTTTAACCTCATTAAACAAAACAATTATCAGCCAAGAATTCTGAATCCAGCAAAACTAAGCTTCATAAATGAAGGAAAGATACAGTCTTTTTCAGACAAATGCTGAGAGAATTTGCCACTATGAAGTGAGCGCTACAAGAACTATGAAAAGGAGCTCTAAATCTTGAAACAAATCCTCAAAATACACCAAAATAGAATCTCCTGAAAGCATAAATCTCACAGACCCTATAAAACAACACAATGAAAAAAAAAAAGAAGAAAGAAAAAGGTATTTAAGCAACAAATAGCATGATGAATACAACAGTACCTCACATCTCAACACTAATGTTAATTGTAAATGGCTTAAATGCTCTACTTAAAAGATACAGAATGGGGCTGAGCAGGTGGTGGCTCATGCCTGTAATCCCAGCACTTTGGGAGGCCCAGGTGGGTCAATCATGAGGTCAGGAGATTGAGACCAACCTGGCCAACACAGTGCAACCCCATCTCTACTAAAATATAAATAATTAGCTGGGCATGGTGGCGGGCACCTGTAGTGCCAGCTACTCGGGAGGCTGAGGCAGGAGAATCACTTGAACCTCGGAGGCGGAGGTTGCAGTGAGCCAAGATCATGCCACTGCACTCCAACCTGGTGACAGAGCAAGACTCATCTCTAAAAAAAAAATAAAAAATAAAAAGGATATAGAATGGCAGAATTCACCAAAGACCTGCTGTCTTCAAGAGACTCGCCTGACACATAAGTACTCACATAAACTTAAGGTAAAGGACTGGAAAAAGATATTCCATTCAAATGGACACCATAAGCAAGCAAGAGTAGCTATTTTTATATCAGACAAAACAAACTTTAAAGCAACAGCAGTTAAAAAGACAAAGAGGGACACTATATAATGATAAAAGGAATAGTCCAACAGGAAAATATCAAAATCCTAAATACATATGCACCTAACACTGGAGCTTCCAAATTTATAAAACAATTACTACAAGACCTAAGAAATGAGACAGACAGTAACACAATAATAGTGGGGGACTTCCATACTCTACTGACAGCACTAGATAGATCAAGACAAAAAGTCAACAAAGAAACAATGGACTTAAACCATAACCTAGGACAACTGGACTTAACATATTTACAGAATATTCTACCCAACAACTGCAGAATATACATTCTCTTCATCAGCACATGGAATATTCCCCAAGATAGACCACATCATAGACCACAAAACAAGTCTCAACAAATATAAGGAAATCAAAATTATATCAAGTACTCTTTCTGACCACAGTGGAATAGAACTGAAAATCAACTCCAAAGGGAACCCTCAAAACCATGCAAATACATGGAAATTAAATAACCTGCTCCCGAATGATCATTGAGTCAACCCAAGATGAAAATTTAAAAATTCTTTGAACTGAACAATAGTGACACAACCTATTAAAACCTCTGGGAAACAGCAAAAGTGGTGCTAAGAGGAAAGTTTATAGCATTAAATGCTTACTCAAAGAGTCTGTAACAACACAAATAGACAATCTAAGGTAACACTTCAAAGAACTAGAGAAACAAGAACAAACCATGCTCGTTTCGGCAGCACATATAGTAAAATTGGAAAGATACAGAGAAGATTAGCATGGCTCCTGCAAAAGGATGACACGCAAATTTGTGAAGCATTCCATATTTATAAAAAAAAAGAACAAACCAAACCTAAACCCAGAAGAAGAAAACAAATACCAAAGATCAGAGCAGAACTAAATGAAATAGAAACGAACAAACACAAAAGACTCAAATTAAACAAGAAGCTGGTTCTTTGAAGAGAGAAATGAAATTGATAGACCATTAGCAAGAATAACCAAGAAAAAAAGACAGAAGTCCCAAATAAGTACAATTAGATATGAAACAGATATTATAATCAATACCACAGAGATACAAAAGATTGTTCAAGGCCGCTATGAACACCATTACACAAATAAACTAGAAAACCTAGAAGAGATGGATAGGTTCCTGGAAATATACAACCCTTCTAGATTAAGCAAGCCAGGAAGAAATACAAACTCTGAACAGACCAGCAACAAGCAGCAAGATTGAAACTGTAATTAAAAAGTTACCAAGAAAAACAAGTCCATGGCCAGACGGATTCACGGCTGAATTCTATCAGACATTCAAAGAAGAATTGGTATCAATGCTATTGACACTATTCCAAAAGACAGAGAAAGAAGGAATTCCCCTAAAATTATTCTATGAAGCCAGTATCACTCCAATATCAAAACCAGGAAATGACATAACAAACAAAGAAAACTACAGTCCAATACCCTGATGAACACAGATGCAAAAAAATCCTTAACCAAATACTAACTAACCAAATCCAACAGCATGTCAAAAAGATAATGCACCATGATCAAGCGGTTTCATAGGAAGGATGCAAGCATGGTTTAACATCCACAAAACAATAAATGTGATACACCACATAAACAGAAATTAAAAACAAGAATCACATGATCATCTCAATAGATGGAGAAAAAGCATCTGACAAAATCCAGCACCCCTTTATGATTAAAAGCCTCAGCAAAATAGGCATAAAAGGGACATGCCTTAAAATAATAAAAGCCATCTATGACAAACCCACATTATGTTGAATGGGGAAATGTTGAAAGCATTCCCCTTAAGAACTGAAACAAGACAAGGATGCCGACTTTCACCATTTCTATTCTACACAGCACTGCAAGTCCTAGTCAGAGCATTTAGACAAGAAAAAGAAATAAAACTTCCAAACTGGTAAAGAGGAAGTCAAACTGTTGCTGTTTGCTGATGACATGATTATATACCTAAAAGATTCATCCAAAAAGCTCCTAGAACTGGTAAAACTGGTAAATGAATTCAGCAAAGTTTCAGGAAACTGAAACATTTGTGTACAACATTAATGTACACAAATCAGCAGCCCTGCTATATACCAACAGTGACCAATCCGAGAATCAAATCAAGAACTCCATCCCTTTTACAATAGCTGCAAAAAAACAAAATCCTTAGGAATATACCTAATGAGATGAAAGACCTCTACGAGGAAAAGTACAAAACACCACTGAAAGAAATCAGATAACACAAACAAATGAAAACATAGCCCATGCTCATGAATAGGTAGAATCAATATTGTAAAAATGACCATACTGCCAAAAGCAATCAACAAATTCAACGCAGTTCACATCAAAATACCACCATCATTCTTCACAGAACTAGAAAAAGAATCCTGAAATTCATATTGAACCAAAAAAGAGCCAATGTAGCCAAAGCAAGACTGAGCAAGAAGGACAAATCTAGAGCATTACATTACTGGACTTCAAACTATACTATAAGACCATAGTCACCAAAAGAGCATGGTACTGGTATAAAAACAGGCATACAGAGCAGTGAAACAGAATAGAGAATCCAAAAATAAACCCAAATACTTACAATCAGCTGATCTTTGACAAAGCAAACAAAAACAAACACAAGTGGGGAAAGGACACCCTATTCAACAAATGGTGCCAGGATAACTGGCAAGTCACATGTAAAAGAATGAAACGGGATCCTCATCTCTTACCTTATACAAAAATCAACTAAAGGTGGATCAGAGGCCTAAATCCAAGACCTGAAACCATAAAAATTCTAGAAGATAACACTGGAAAAATATTTCTTGACATTGGCTGAGGCAAAGACTTCCTAACCAAGAACCCAAAAGCAAACACAGCAACAAAAAAGGATAATAGATGGGACTTAATTAAACTAAAAAGCTTGTGAGCAGCAAAAGAAATAATCAGCAGAGTAAACAGACAACCCACAGAGTGGGAAAAAATTTTCACAATCTATACATCTGACAAAGGACAAATACCCATAGTCTACAAGGAACTCAAATCAGCAAGAAAAAAACAAAAAGTGGGCTAAGGACATGAACAGACAATTCTCAAAAGATAATGTAGAAATGGCCCACAAAAATATGAAAAAAATGTTCAGTATCACTATCAGGGCAATGCAAAGCAAAAACACAATGTGATACCAACTTACTCCTGCAAAAATGGTGGTAATCAAAAAATAATAGATGTTTGTGTGGATGCGGTAAAAAGGGAACACTTTGACACTGTTGGTGGGGATGCAAACTAGTACAAACACTATGGAAAATGGTGTGAAAATTTCTTAAAGAATCAAAAGCACATCGATCATTTGATCCAGCAATCCCACTCATGGGTATAGACCCAAAGGAAAAGAAGTCATTACATGAAAAAGATATTTGCACATGCTTGTTTATAGCAGCACGATTCACATTTGCAAAAAAATATGGATCCAGCTTAAATGCACATCAATCAATGACAGCATTTATATACCATGGAATACTACTCAGCCATGAAAAGGAATGAAATAGTGGCATTTGCAGCAATGTGGATGAAATTGGAAACATAATCTAAGTGACGTAACTGAGGAAAGGAAAACCAAACATTGTATGTTCTCACAAGTGGGAGCTAAGTTAAAAGGACACAAAGGCATAAGAATGATACAATGAACTTTGGGAACTCGGGGAAAAGTGGGAGTGGGGTGAGGGACAAAAGACTACACATTGGGTGCAGTGTACACTGCTCGGGTGACAGGTGCACCAAAATCTCAGAAATCACCAATGAGAAATTATTCATGTACCCAAACACCACCTATTCCCCAAAAACCTACTGAAATTTAAAAAAAAACCTGAATCACAAAATTCTAGTGTATGGGTATGTGTATGTAAAAAGTATATATATATAACATCTCAACAAAATCAACTATGTAATTCATGTGAAAAGCATTTATAATGAACACATCAACATAATGAACATCAACAAAAGTCAACTACATAATTCACATGAAAAGCATTTTCCAGACAGGTAGTCTAACCTTTGAATTTCTAGTCTCAAACTTTAGCATGCATCAAAATTAAATAAGACACAGAGTGCTGCACCCAACTCCCAGAATTTCTCATTCAGCATATCTAGGGTGGGGCCTGAAAACCTGTATTTCTAACAGGTTCTTAGGTGATACTGCTTCTGGTAGTCTGGGGACCTCTGCTCTCTAGTCTATACTGTACCTTCTCCAATTCACCTTCCTCAACACAGTCATTCATTGCCTCTCAAAAATGGAAAGCTAATGTTGCCATTCGCTTCCACCAAACTTTTCCTCTGTCTCTCATCCATTTCAGATTTTTAGAGGCTCTATACAAACTATAAAATGAAACACAAATTCCTCAACATGAGATACAAGGCTTCTAACCATCTAGCCTGCCTTATCTTTCCAGCCTCATAAATTCATATGAGAGAGATCTTTCTCCCTTAACCAAATGAAACAAGCTACTGAATGAGGAGCCTAAAATTTGACATAAAGCAAGTGGTAAGGATTAATTAAAAGTATGACACAGGCAAAACATAAAGGCTTTAGGCTTGCTCAATCGTAAAATGGGAAAGAGGGAATGAAATCACTCCACTTACTTCCCCAGGGTTCCCCTCCAAAGTTTACCCAAAAGTGTAAGGAACAAAAAGATTAGAGAGAGAAGGCACATGTCAGGGAGAAAACTGAGAAAATAGAAACATGACATTTTAATCAAAATTTTCAACTCGGCATTGCTAAAGTTAACCTAACTTAGAAATGGGTTTAGAGTCAACAAGCACCCTCATCAAATCCAGATGGTCTCAATGCCTACCCTCATCAGCATCCACGAAACCAGTGAGTCCTCAAACATCAGTCATACTCCTCCTTTGCATTGCTTCCTCCACTTGATACAGTTTTCCCAGCAGGGTCAGCCTAGCAATCTCTTCCTCTTCCTTATAGGCTCAGTCCAAATATTACTTCATATGCTAAGTAATGATCTTTCTGATACCTTCCCCATACCCACTCCACTCCAGGCTCAATGCTCCCACAGCACTTGTGAGAGCTCCATCAATATCTATTTTCCTGAATGATGATAATCTTCGTGAAAGTCTTTTTTTCCTCCAAAATGGACTGTGAACTCTTAGAAACAAGAAACAGATTTTTTTTTTGAGACAGAGTCTTGTCGTTGCCCAAGCTGCTGGAGGGCAGTGGCATGATCTCAGCTCACCGCAACCTCCACCTCCAGGTTCAAGCAATTCTTCCACCTCAGCCTCTCAAGTAGCTGGGATTACAAGCATGCGCCACCATGTCCGGCTAATTCTTACATTTTTAGTAGAGATGGGGTTTCACCTTGTTGGCCAGGCTAGTCTCAAATTCCTGGCCTCAAGCAATCGGCCCGCCTCAGCCTCCCAAAGTGGTGGATTACAAACATGAGCCATAGCATCTGGCCTTCAAATATTTTTATTGTATCTGTTATGGTGGTCTGTGATCAGAGATCTTTTTTTTTCTTAATCATACATGCCCCTTGATATTCTGTTTCTTCAATGAATATTATTACCACCCCTGTGGAGAAATACCCAAAGAGTAATTCTTCAAGATAATAGCAGCACTAGTAACCAATCAATACTTCTTGAAAAAAAAATGAGCATAAACATAAGGTTAGTTCAAAAAGTGTAAACATCAATGAAAAGATTTTTAATTTCATAAGAGAAACATGAATTAAAACTACATTGATGTTATTTCTCACCTATAAAATGAGAAAAATTCTAAAAGTCTGACATACTCTATTGACACAGCTGTAAGGAAGCAGGGATTCTCATGC